TCCAGGAACTACAGTAAAAGCACAAACTGTCATTTAACACAAGATACAGTGTATGCTAACTAGCTCTTTAGGTGCTACTAGATGGATTTTGTCAAATCTACACAGAACCAGGCTGTGTTTCTCCAGTGTTTATGCCAAGCTAAGCTAACTGGCTGCAGGCTATAGCCTCAGCATCAAAGTCTTATTTTGTCTGTTTGCTTTCAAATATGAGGAAAGAAAATATTCATATTTCAGAAGGTGCAATCAGAGAATCATGTTTTTTTGCTGAGAAATTACTGATATTAAATATATAGTCCAGGTTTTGACATTTAAACTCGTAAACTTTAAAATTTGAGCGAGCCTCTTATTCATATCCAACACACCAGCAGCTCAGCCCATACCGGTCTTCCGTCATTGAATTCCCTTGGCATTGTTGACTCATTGCTCACTGGGTGTGACCAGCACTGAAGCTCACTTGGCTGTTTCTGTCTTTCCTTATCAGTTTTGCTGTGTTGTAAGAAGAGAGGCCACAGTCCAATAGCACTGGAACAGAGCTGTAAGTACATCTACAAAACCAAAAGCTGAGATGGTTTTTACTGATTCCATGTTTTTGTTCAGTTTTTTTTTTTTAAATGTCAATGTTTGTTTTATTGTCCCAAGCAGGAAGGTTTTGTGTGATTGAACATGTTTTTCTCTGGTTAGGATCAGTCTGAAAGCAGCAGCAAAGATGGCGGACCAGCTACAGAAGCTCGTGGCTGAGAGGAAGGACATGGTGGAGACAGTGATGGAAGTATTCGAGCAGGGAGCCGAAGTGGTGGCCAGCATTGCCGGCGACCTCTTCCCCGTTTTCTCCATCGCTGCTCCGATAGTGAAACTGGCTCTGGACAACGTGGAAAGTAAAGAGGCCGCATTCATGAAGGACCAGTTCCAGAAGGTCCGCGAGCGCCTGGAGGTGGTGTCTGAGGAGATTCAGCGGATCAACGATGAGATTAAGAAGAGCGGCGTGGATGCTGCGTATTTCTCCGTGGAGGAGAACATCACCAACCAGTTCAGGAAGTACATGGACATCCTCAACGCCAAGCCCAAGTTCCGGGAGGTGAAGAAGAAACTTTTCCTGGACCATTTCGCAAAGACCGGCGGTGACAAAAACCTGAACACCCTGTACAACGCTGTGACAGGAGATAACTTCTCGGGGGCATCTGTGCTGGAGATCACCTTGAACTACGAAGAGAAGAGCCGCCGGGCGATGGAGGACTTCTGCGCCCGACTCAAGAAGCTCTTCTGCGTCGGACTCATTGCGCTGCTGGGCCACGCCGCTCTGAAGGGATACGACGAAGAGGAGGCACTTCTGAAGGACTGGGGGGAGAAGATGAATTCCGTGCAGGCAAGAATGAACGCTGTTATTGAAGAGTGCATCGTCGGATTCCCCAAACAAGCCGAGCAGGATTCTCGACGACTGGTGAGAGACCAGTCGCACCTGACCAGTCAGCAGCTAGCTGATGCCATCGTAGAGAAACTGAAGAAGAAGTACGACTGGGTGGGCTGGTCCGTGCGTATTTTCAGGTCACCCTCGGGCCTCTTCGCCAACAAGAAGGATTACCACTGCCCGACTGGGAAAAGCCGCTTCCAGGTGCCGTCCTCAGACGAGAAGCTCAATGTCTGGGTGTCCTACAGCTCCTCGGCAGAACCCGTGGACAGGAACCACATCCAGCAGCTGATCCAGAGTCAGAAGAAGCTCACAGTGGTGGCTGTGGCGGAGCTCCTCTTTGAGAAGCTGCCTGGCGACTGCGTGGTTCACACAGTCAAGACCACCAAAGATCTGGCCTGCTCCTGGAGCTTCACCGACGAGCTGCACTACTGGGAGGAGCACAAGAACTTCTACGTCTGCGTTCACTCAGCTTAAAGTGTTAGACGCTGGAAAAACTCTCAGAGATTAGTCTGTGTTTCGAGGCTACTCACATTTGCACAGATAATTGCAGCTGACTGCTGCCTCACTGCTTGGCCTTAACAGTGAATTATGACACAATATGTGCCTTAATCTCAACTCTCTCATAGCCTTTCTTTTTCTGAATTAGTCTCTTTCTCACATAACATTATCCGTTAGTCTTTTGCAGACATAATTCATTCATTCATTCAACCTTTATTTAAACTCGGGAGATCACTGAGGGTCAACTCTCTTTTTCAACATTTCAAGAAAGAAAGGAAAACAATGAAGAGAAAATGTAAAAAAAGAAATGGTGGCTCCACATACTATAGATATTTTGCAACTTTTTAATAGGTATTTTTATTGTTTCTATGCTTGCTCTGTGGAAACACTGCCTGCACTTCAGCCACAAAGTCCCTGATATTTTTGTCACAAGACTGTTGGTCACAACTGACTCAATAATAGCTTCCCAGTTTGCAGCAAAGAGCACAGAATTTTATGTGTTTTTTTTACAGGATTTGGTTGTAGCAAAAGCTTTATTTCGGCAATTTTTAAATGTAGACAAGTGTAAGAAACTGATGAAATATCCCAATTTTGAGTTTAGATTTGATTAAATTTCCCAATGGAAAGCCATGTCACAGATGAGTAGTTCAAGGATGGTTGGAAAGTTGAAAACCCAACATTTTTAGTTTTTTAGTTTTTACAGTTTCCATCTCTAATAATTGGTGTAATTATGTTGATTTAAAAAAAAAAAAAAAAGATCCCTTTAAAGCTGCCGGCAACAATTACAAGTCTTTCTTTTAGTCTTTCGTTGGGTTTTTTTGGAGAAAGAAAACTTTATTTTCTTCTGTTATGAAAATCAAGCAGACATGGTTGTTTTATTGCAGCGGGACATGTTGGGAAAGTTGCTGGTTTGAGTGCAGCTGTCATGCAGAGATTACGTGTGCGCTGGTGGTGATAAGTGCCGACCTCGCCCTGCTGAGGACATTTAAACCACAACCAGGAGAGAAAATGGTTCCAGACCTTCACGCAGAATAAAATGGAGGCCTTCGCATTGATTTTGGTGGCTTGGAAATAATAAACCCTGTTACTTGCGTCTGTCCAAGGATTTATTTGCAGCATTTTCTGTAGTGAACCGTGAAACTTCATTCACACACCCTGTCGCGAAAAGGCCGAGGCGTGGAGTCGGCAGCTTTTTGTTTACATAGCGATGCTTCGCTGTTCCTGCCTCACCTGTGTGGTTGTGCAACTCAAACTGGAAGCTCACAACCTGTAACCTCTTTTGCTTTGAAGGTTTACTGACATACAAGGAACAAACTGTAGAGTTTTGGGGTTTAGAATCTTTTGTATTTGAAGAGATTTTTAAAATCAGAATTAGTATAATCGAATCAAAATATGCACACTACCAGAAATATATGATAGGCGCACTGCCGTTTGGATTGTTGTACACTTTTAAGTGTTTTTCATGCACCACTGTAATCCGTGTGTTTCTTTGTGTTGTTTGTATGTTATTAAGTGGAATAAATTCCTTTGGACATTTTAATATCTGACAAAAACAAGCTGTAAAAATGATTGCACATCTGTTTGTTGTTATTTCCATGCAGCATATCTGGGTCTCTTCAGCGTCTCTGAATTAAAGTTGTGTTGCTACACCAAAGCAACGAATGTAGTAAATCTTCCAAATCAACACATCTTTTGTTTGTGTATTTTTGTTATTGATTGTCTGGTTCCAGGACTGATTCTGGGAAAAATATGCTCTTAATAAAATTCATGACTGCAAAATCATTAAAAAACTGTTGAACAGCAGTGTTATTTATATTTCTAAGTACTCTTCAAACACACTGGCTAATAATATTTATGGTTATAATTCAAAGGCTTTCAGTTATACTAATTTGTGTGCTTTGCATGCATTGCAAACTTTAATGTTTTTCATAAAAAAGTTCATATTCTCCTTTTTAGGGTCCCAACTTTCCTTCATTTTGTTATATTGCTGCTTTTTTGTGCATGAAAAAAGTCTGTAAACCGTCAAGGGTTTTCTCTCCTGCAGAAGACTTGCTTCATTTAAAGTTCAGAATTTTCTTCTGTTCCTTATCTACATGACTGTGTACCACATTTGCATGAAGCCTGCTTTGCGGCAATTTCAGTCTCAAACAAACAATGAGCAGTTTCTTTGCAGTATGTCCTCACTAGAGCTGCTTCTGCTCAAGCTACTTCACTGTACTCTGAGATCTTTAGTCACGATATTTACTTTTACAAGGGTTTAATCGGACCAGCTGACCAAACAGAGGAAGAGACACGAGCTGAAATAGAGCACTTTAGATAGAAGAGGAGCTTCAGAAATGCAGAGTACGAGAAAAATAAGTTTTTTTTGTTGTTTTTTTTAAACAATAAAGTTTGCAAACAAATCATTTTTCGGCCTGTCAATGTGTAGAATTATGGGCTTGAAGTGAACATCTAGAAATTTGGTCTCAGTTGTCACTTTAGCAGACGTCAGTGTCAGAAATTTACAGCCGAGGTTATTTTTGTGTCATTTCCAGATGAAAAACTTCCAAGCTTAATCAGTAACATCCTCATAACTGTGAGGCCAACATGAACAAACTTTGGTCTCTATGAATCAGAGACACTTGGGAAAATTTTGAAATACATGACGTCTTTGTGTGTGCTCACCACGTCAGAGTGAGATCTGAAAAACTTGACCATAGAGGGACTTTTTCTCTTCTACTTTGTTATTTTTTGGCTCATTCAGGCCTTGATAAAAGGGGATCAACACAATGTCATAATGGCAGTCAAGGTATAACAAGGGGCTGGGGTCAATTAAAGAAGGTAGAAATTAATATAGACTTTTCGCATACTTTGTATTTTTACTTTTGTAGAGCCTTACACTTCAGGCCAAACATTTAACAAGTGTGGACAAGTATTTGTGTTAGTGCTAATATTTACTGCCAACAATGCACGTGTTTCCAAGTCAAAATCCTATTTATCCCAGAAGTACTTTATCGTTGCTCTGCAGATGCTCTCACAAAGTACACACTGTTTCTTGTACTAGAAATACAACTGGGATGGACTACTTTTTCATATTAAAGCACCTTCAACTGTTTCATACCATAATACAAAAAGAGCTGCCATCTGTACACCATCTGTGACTCAAGCTTGTTTATAGTCAACACACCGTCGTGTAACTGAGCAGAGGATTGTGGGTCAAAACATGTAGAAAAACATGCTGACTTGCCAACTACAAAATCCAACCGGATGCAGAAGGACATCTACTTATTTTTGGGATATTGCTTTTGACGTACTATGTGTATGAGGTGTGTCAGAAAAATTCCAGGACTGGTGTCACAAAAGATTTATTTCAAACCCAAACTACAAACTACGAGTTTTCCCCTTCAGACGATCAACCAGCACGTCTACAAAGAGATCCTGCAGCATTTGCTTTGTTCAGTGCGTGAGAAGAGGCAAGAGTTGTGACAGGACAGGTTGTGGCTGCTTCACCATGACAACGTGCCTGCTCACAATGCCCTGAGCATCCGACAGTTCCTGGCTGAGAAGAACATCGCTGTGCTGGAGCAACCTCCCTACTCACCCCACCTGGCTCTGTCAGATTTTTTCCTTCTTCCCCATGCTCAAGGGGGTCATCAAGGGTCCCCGTTTTGAAGACATAGACGACATCAAGATGGCTGTGATGACGGAGCTGCAGAGGATCCAAGAATCCTTCCAGGAGTGCATGGCAGCGTGGCTGGAGTGTATCCTAGCTGACTCAAGGTGAAGGCAGGGGACACCTTGGACAGGTCGCCTGTCTATCACAGAGGGCTACACTTAGAGACAGACAACCAAGCACACTCACACTCACGCCTACGGACAATGTAAATCAAATCAAATCAGATCAAGTTTATTGTCATTTTGCTGTACATACATAGTAGTACAGGCAAGATGAGAGAGCGTTTCTTCAGAATTATTCAACCAGCAAGTTTTGCGGAATGCACGGCTGGGATAAGACACTAAACGTTCGCTGTCGCTGTCTCTGTCTCCTCAAGTGGCCGCCACGTCCATGTGCGCCGCCATTCGTTGAACATGGCGAACCTCTTCAGGTCCTGGAAGGTCTTCAGGGACACAAAGACAATGGTGTGACAATGGTGAAGCTGCAGATGCTGCCCAGAGCTAGCTGTCTGTCTGTCCGCCCAGAATAATGTCGTCCCCTTCAGCTGTATGTCCATCTGGAGTGTTGTCATGGAGCCATGTTTCTGTTGAAGCAAACACACAGTAGTATTTCCACTCTCTGCGGGTTTCTCTCAGCAAACGTAGCTCGTCCAGCTTGTTGTGGAGGGAGTGGACATTGGAGAGCAAGAGCGACGGTCCTGCTGGTCTGGAAGGGTAAGCCTTTAGAATGGATCCTGGCTCTCTTCCTCCTCCTTTGGTTACGTTTGTACCGTTTGCGCTTCCTCCTCTCTCGGGTAACTGCCGGCGTAGTCTCCGATCGGACTCCGTGTTAGTGTAGTATGTCCAAATCACAACCGATCGCCGCAATTCCAGCGCCATTCACTGTCCTGATGCCCAGCAAAGTCTCCCAGCTGCAAGTTTTGCGGAATGAACGTCTTGGAGAGACAAGACACTCAAAACGTTCACTTTCGTTGTCTCCTGAAGTGGCTGCTGCGTCTATGCGCACCGCCATCACCATTGCAACAAATAGAATCACCAATTAACCTCAACATGTTTTTGCACTGTGTGGGAGGAAGCCGGAGAACCTGGAGAAAACCCACGCTGCACAGAGAGCAAACATGCAAACTGAGAAAGCAGAAAAATTCTGGGTGTCCTCACAGGGACGCGAACTGGCGACCTTCTAGCTGGAAGGTATGTACTCATCCATGTCCCCTGCACAAAACGTGCAGAAAACATGTGCAGGGGACATGGATGAGTACATGGACATCTCCAGCCGCAAGAAGAATGGGGTCCTGTGCATCTCGGCCTGTGGAATCTGTAAAGGCATTACATGCAGAAACTGCAGTCATGATGTTGTTGAGTCTGAAGAAGACATAGACAATGACTCTTGAAGCTTCTGATACTGTGAATGAGAAATAACTCTGAGTATTATACACTGCTCAAAAAAATAAAGGGAACACCTAAACAACACAATGTAACTCCAAGTCAGTCACACTTCTGCAAATCAACCTGTCCTGTAGGGAAACAACACTTATTGTGAATCAATTTCACCTGCTGTTGTGCAAATGGAACAGACAACAGGTGGAAATGAGAGGC